CAGGGAACGGAAGTCCTGATTTCATGGAGTTCGTTGTATTTATTCTGAACCGGTCATTCCAGATATAGAAGACTCCTCCCCCGGGGAATGGTACGCCCCGCCCTCCTGCAGCCTCCAGACCCTGGGCTGGCTGCAAATGTTGCACCGCTACTTGCCCCGTGCAATGGGGGGGGGCATTTCTCAGCTCTGACACGTCTCTTGGTTTAAGGCTCTTGGGGTCCACACATAGTATACACGGGGCCCACACATGGTATACACGGGGCCCACAGATGGTATACACGGGGCCCACACATGGTATACACGGGGCCCACAGATGGTATACACGGGGCCCACAGATGGTATACACGGGGCCCACAGATGGTATACACGGGGCCCACACATGGTATACACGGGGCCCACACATGGTATACACGGGGCCCACAGATGGTATACACGGGGCCCACACATGGTATACACGGGGCCCACACATGGTATACACGGGGCCCACAGATGGTATACACGGGGCCCACAGATGGTATACACGGGGCCCACAGATGGTATAGACGGGGCCCACACATGGTATACACGGGGCCCACATTGGGGATTAGACATGTTCTGGGGGTCACGGCACACGGAGGATGTTTCCGGATTCCAGAACCTTTCCCGGTCCTCCGGCTCGCCGTGGTAAAGGGAGGAGTAGAGGGATGACCTTAGAAGTGAGCTGCTGCTCCCTAATTGTCCAATCACAGGCTGGGACTGGACCAAGCTGCAGGGAGATCCCGGACCTTTCTGTACTGCCTGGTAGCAGAGTTCACAAGACTGGCTGAACAGAACTGCATACTGGCGGGTATAATGGTTCTGATTGGTGTGACGTGGGAGTTTATCGGACCTCCATCCCTGACAGTGGTCCGTTTCCTGTGTCGCAGGTCCCAGTTGTCACACAGTGAAGGGGAAGAAGATCGCGGCGGGCGTTGCCGGAGGGTGTACGGTGGCCCCCGGGGGACGTGGGACTCTGGAGTTCTGCCTGTCTTGGGACATGCCCCGGATCCGCTTTGGTTCTGGGGAGAGAGAGTACTGCAGGTAAGTGTCCCGCCACTGGTTCCAGCGCGGTGTCCTGCCTGTTATCCTCATCCTCCCTCTTCTCTCTCTGCAGGCGCTATACACGCTACTTCAGCAGCGGGGGGGGAGCGGCCCCGGCGCTGTGTCACTACGGCCTGACCTGCTACGGGGGATGGGAGCGGAGGATCGAGGCCTGGCAAGGTCCAATCCTAGGAGATGAGTACGTACTGAGGGCACCGGAGAGGTATACGGTATATACCGGGGGCATGTCATCCCAGACTGGACTATATACAGAGGTATACGGTATA